CCCCAAAACCCCAAAACCCCTAGAGAGTAAATTTTATAGATTGAAGCTAATTAAATTGATAAAATGATTTATTTTAAAGAAGATCATTTAATTATTATATTTGAGCAATGAAAAATAATTTCTATCAAAGTTACGGAGCCCCTGCCTACACACAAAATACTTTGAATTTTACAACAGTTCAGACTGCTGATCTGGACTAGCTTCGTACTTCCAGAGAGAACTAAAACACTATTATATAGGGAGTGAAAGTAACACTTAAAATGACTCGAAGAATAAAACAGCCTGATAATCTTATCAGGTGAAAGGGTAATTCACTTGCTCCCCCTACTGCTAACACTAAAAATAATCAGTTATAAAGAAAAACTCATATAATTAATCCCTTGCCTGAACTTCTTCATGCAAAGCCTAACCCAGTGCAAAGTGAAATCAACTGTGGAAGCAGCGCTCGATAGCAAACTACTCATGCAATCGAAGACGATCATCTTGATGAAGATGAAGACATTCTTAATAACTAATGGAATGTGCTCAATACGATGCAGACATCCAATTCTAAGAAGGATTACTTTCAAAATCCAGAAATGCATCTTGAGAAAATTAAAATTAACCCAGTCTAATCTCAGAATCCTATTTAATTTTAATCAGCTTAGCCTCTTAATCTGCAGCATTATAACTAGTAAATTAATGGGCCATTTAGTTTGACTCAGGTCACTGACTTTTAAAATCTTAATAACCCCATCTACAACAATAAGATAGAAATATCCCCAGCCAAGTAAATCTCATTCAGAGACTTTGACAGTGTTAGATCGGGAGAAATCGGCTATAATTACATTAAGATCTCTCCAAAGCAATAGCAATACACCAATGTTAATTTTCAAGACTATGAACAACTAAGCTTGAATATGTACAACTAAGGGATTACTAAGCTAAATCAATCTATGTATCACAATGACAAAAAGTTCACTTAAGACATAGCAGAATTCATTGGTGAATATCAACGCAAGCTAAGACCTCTAAGCAAGGATAAGTAGCTTAAAAGAAAATTCTACAATGTCAATTCATCCTTTGACTAGGCATCTGTTGATTTCAAGCGAAGAATTATGGGTAAATTTTAAGAGCATTCTCTGAGGGAAAATAAGTTTCAGAATTTTCATAATTTACTCTCTAGAATCACAAAGATTGATCGATCAAGGGTCTCTAACAACAATGACTTCTCAAATACAATCATTTCAAGGAATATGCAGTTGCAGGAAACAGAAAAATCAAATGTAAGCAAAGTCAATAGATCTATCGAAAGGAACGTAAAGATCTAAAATGTCTAGCGGCTGAGGTAGTCAATGGATTCAAGACTCAATATCCGCAGGAATAATACCAAGAGATTTAATCTTGATTTCAATAACTAAAAGAGTCAGCAGTTTGTTCATCAACAATAACTTCAAGATTCCTTGTAGGTTAAAAAATTTCAAAAGCAGCACTAAAGAATACAGTAAAAAGTATAAATTAGATCAGGTGAAAAATCTCTTATGCAAGAAGAAGTAGCTATTGATCTGTCATTGTTCAACAAATAAAAAAACGTTTTCGACAAAACTAAGTTTAATTCGGCTAAGCTAGGTGGATAAACATACATACTAAGCCAACAAGAAAGTTTTCCTGGAATATAAGAGTTTCAGATTAAGAGTCTTCCAAATAAGCAAATTGTTGGTCAGAAGAGAGACCAAAACACTCAAGGAGGGGACACAGCAAGTTTAAATATGAGTAAAGTACTCTCTAAAAGTCTAAATACATCCTAAAGAATGAGATCTGTTCATTCTTAGCATTCAAGATCATCTCACTGTAAAGGTAAGGCTCTGCCAAATTATTAAAATGCAAGACTTATAATTGATGATAATACCTTAAAGTAAGGTGTTGTAAACGCTAAAAGAGACCAGAACACAAGTCCTCCATCTCAAGCTAGAATCGGAACTCAAGATCGCAGTATGCTTAGAGAACAGAGCGTTTCATATTAACATACAACTGCTATGAGATTGTCAGCAACTCCTTAATACCTATAAGGAGGGTAGTATGACTAGGATAGAATAGTTTATCAAGATTCGCCTTTAAGTGCTAAACTAGATAACATTTATGGAAGTGATACATCAGTTAAGAAGTTTAGAATAAATGCATAGTTAACTATGCCTCTAAATCATTTGGACTCTAAATGAAATAATAAAAGCTTACTTTTAATTATTAAGCATTGCTGATATTCAGGATAAATATTGTATGATAATTAACTTTAATGAATGGTTAAAATCGAATTAATAGATTATGTGTTCATATTATTTATAGTGAGAAACCTAAATGCTTTAGTAGATTGTATTGACAAATGTAGATCTTGTTTCATCAAATGTTATTAAGACGATCATATTGTTAGTCTAATCCATCTGGCTCATCAATTTCACCCACTGTAAGCTCCTCGAATTCCGCTTCGTCCTCTTACTACAATCGAGATTCATTTTTCTTCTCTGCTTTTATATATTTTATCTTTCGACTGCTTCCTTTCGATTTTGTATGAGTTCGTGACTAAGCAATTTCAAAAGATGGCTATCTAGAGTGATCATGTAGAATAGCTCTCGTAGTCGATGAGTTACTTGCCTAGCTGTTATATTCTAATTTATCTCCTTCATTAAGATAATTTTTAACCTTTATCGGCCGATTATTATAAATATCATCATCTTCAAATTCTTAGTTTTGAAGATGATGGTTCATATCTGCATCATTATTCTCATCCATTTCCTCTTCATCAAAGTAGTCATCATCATCAAGTTCGTCATCATCAAATTAGTCTGCTGCTCTTGGGCCATCTTTCTCAAATATCATCTCATTCTATTCATTAAAGTATTTCTGATTTATGTCTCCTTTCTCCTCATCAATAATCTTGGCACCTTTAAGGTCATTCATTATGTTATCAAATATACTGATTTATCTGTTCATATCAGTTTGATTGTTGTTCATCTCGCTGTGTTCAGCATTTACTGCAGAAGATGAAGACTTTTTCTTAGGCGATTAGCTTTAATCTTCATCTGGAAAGATTTCAGTATAAATGTTTCGAAGTTATTCCTCGTTCTTCGTCTCTCTAATGAAGAAGATACCGATACTAGCTGTTAAAAATATTAGAACAATCATTATCAATAATTCGGTGCTCAATTAATTAATAAATGGCAAACCCATTCCACCAATCATACCAAAAGAAAGGCATGTTCCAAAGCCAAATGCTCTTATTTCAGTTGGGAATTGCTCAAGTGTGGTTAGTGTCAAAATTATGTTAAGAATTTATAAAGATGCCCTAGATGAAATAGATACTATATAATGAGTCTATGAACTGCTCTTTAGAATTATGAGGAAGAAAAATAATGTGCAAATAAACGAGAATAGAAGTAATAGTGCAGTCCTCCTTTTGAAAATTTTGAGTATAATTTTGGTAAAAAGTGCTGACATAAATTCAGTACAGCCCAATATGATTAGATCTAGATAGAGATCAACTTACATCTGCTCAATAAATACAAAATCAATCATCTGGCCAGTAGTGTAACAGAGCCAACAGAAACTTAGAATTGCTATTACTGTTGCTTTCTCTTTTGAACCTATCAAGTTTAATATGATGAATTTTAGTGATCTTCTTTTCTTAATTTATTAGGGCGATAGGCTGAAGGCTATTTTGTCAGTAATGATATCCTCATCGTTTATTACAGCTATTCGATTAAGGATATATTTAACTGCATCTATCTGGCCAGTTGACGCAAGTAGATAATGAATACTTTCAAAAGTATTTTTCATAAATATCCCACCAAGAATCAATATCGAACCAAGAACAATGCAGAAAAAATATACCCATTTATTCAAATAAACAAAACATGCACAAACTATTAAAATACCTGCTAATCTTGTTGCAGATAATAATATTATGAAATTTTCTCGTTAAATTTTCTGTAATTGCTCAAATCCGATTATCTATAGATCAAGGAAAAAAGTTGAAACAAATAATGCCATAAAAAATATAGATAGCACTATATTATAATTCTTAGTACCAATGAATCCTATGATAACTAAAGCCATAACTAGCAAACCAAATGCTAACAGTTTAACAAGAATAATTTTTTTCCTTCCGAATTTATCCATTAAGAATCCGAAAAAAAATTAACCCATAAATAAAACAGCTGAAATGATTGCAAATAGTTACTAAGAACTCAAATTTTCATTTTAACACATAAGACCAAAGTAAGAGATAAAACTGTTATTGTTCTAGTCATTCTTAGCTTATCTGTGCTTGTTAAAGTATTATTTACTACAGGCTTATTGAACTGAGCACCTGAAGTAAATCTTAAACTCTTCATTGAAGCATTCCATCTTAGGCTCTTAGAATAAAAAGATCATGGAGAGTGGGATCATGAATCCAACCATACTTAGTAAGTTAAGGATTATGTATAAATTTCTTATAACGTATTTATCAGGTTCTCCACTAACCATGAAAAGTGCTTCCTCTAAAGTTATTGGTGGGTCTTGATTTAATGAAGGAATTATGGTCTCCAAACTCATTTCAATGTTATCTGATCTAGCTAAGCCTTAATTTGATCTTGCATTAACCACACTATTATACATATCTTGATTATTTAGTAGGATAACGATTGAGTTGTTATTAGCGGTGCTGACCTCTAAATCATTATCATATTAATGAGAATTTTCAAAGTTCGAATGATCCCTCTACTTATAATAGTTGTTGGAATTATCATTCTTATTAGGATTTAATGCATATTGAGTGTTTTCTAATGATGAGGGCATCTAGTAATAATCTTCATGATTATTAAGCTAAAGCAGAGATGGATTTAGATTTGTATTTACATCGTTAGGGGATATGTGGCTCATCAAAGTAGAGTCTATTATTCTTAATTTTGGGGGAGACTCCTCTATAGCTTTATTCATTTTGAGATTTATAAAATTTAGAATTTATATTTCTAACTTTTCAATTAATACTTGGCCACTCTATTTTGATACTAAGGGGTTTTGGGGTTTTGGGGTTTTGGGG